GATTCTCACACACACACACACACACACACACACACACACACAGATTATCAACACTGACGGAATTCCTACTGACCCAGCAACCAACCATGGCAGAACTAAAACCAGTTCAGAAAAAGGCTAATTAATATTCATTATTTTCCTCATGCTGTGAAAAGAAGAATATCATGTTTCCTCTCAGAATACGTCCCTCAACTTTTAAAGATTTAACCATATGGAAGAGATCTAAAGGAGTATATGAAAAGGCTAACGATTTGGAATCCTAATTCAATTTCCCCTCACATTTTAATAGGAGCCTGTAGCAAACATTTATTTTTAGAGATATTCTCAGCAGGGAACTGAATAAAAGGCTATTGTGTGCTAAACATGGTGAGGTCTCTCTGGTCCCATCTATACTAACTTTATAAACATCAGGTTAGAATTAAATAACTTTAAACTTTAAATCAACTATTTCCAGACCACAAAATCTATTCTACACTTATCAGCACATATAAGTTCTCTAAATGACTTATAGCTGAGTTCAAATGTGAAATCTGCATTTTTCAAGTGCCAATAAAAGAACTTTCCTTTGGACTTCGAATAATGCTGAATTGTCCAAGAATGCCATATAATGTTTTCATTTCCTTTTCCAACAAAAATTTTCATCTGCACTTTATAAATTTACTGACTCCATATCAATTATGATGAAAAGCATATGGGTATCAATCATACTGGTCTCCACTATTTTCTTATTAAATAGGAATTACAACTTTTTCTCAAAGTTTAACAAAAGTAAAAAAGATGAAGTTTATAGGCCTGCCCTGATCACTATGAACATCTCTTTATATGTGTCCTGTCATGTGTCTGTTAAAATGCAGAAGGAAACAAGAAATTATCTACGACTAGCAATGTGGTTGTTTTAAAACATATCCACAAATACTTTGACATGCCTCCCATCAAAAGGCAGAGTCAGTTCCCTCCCTTTGAACATGGGCCAGGTGCAGTGACTCACTTCTAATAAACAGAATGTGGCAGAAGTGGGGCTGAAGGCTTTGAAGGCTAGGTCATAAAAACATGATATACCTTCCTCCTGGCTCTCCTTGTTGGGTCGCTCACCTGTAAAACTTAGCCACCATGCTGTAAGGAAGCCAAGCAGCCATATGGAAAGGCCTTAGTTCCACTCCCAGCCAAGGTTCCAGACAACAACTGGCATCAGCCTCCAGACATGTGCTTGAAATAGCCTCCATATGACTTTAGCCCCGGCTTTGGGCCGTCTCAATAGACACCACGTGGGGCCAGGCGTGGTGGCTCATGCCTGTAATCCCAGCACTTTGAGAGGCTGAAGAGGGTGAATCACCTGAGGCCAAGAATTTGAGAGCAGCCTGGCCAACATGGTGAAACCCCGTCTCTACTAAAAATACAAAAGTTAGCTGCGCATGGTGGTGGGTGCCTGTAATCTCAGCTACCCGGGAGGCTGAAACTGGAGAATCTCTTGAACCCAGGAGGAAGAGGTTGCAGTGAGCCGAGATTGCTCCATTGCACTCCAGCCCGGGCAACAAGAGGGAAACTCTGTTCAAAAAAAAAAAAAAAAGACACCACATGGAAGAGACAAGCCATTCCCACCAAACCATGCCTGAATGGCAGATGCTTGAAAAAATAAGGACTATCTGTATTTTAAGTCACTAGGCTTTGAGTGTTTTATTATGCAACAACAGGTAATTGGAGCATAAAGATTATTTCAGCCAAATGCAGCCATCTTATTCTTTCCATTTCAAAACTACCTGAGAAAACAAATCTGTTTCAAAGAAAAATAAAAATGCACTGACATACCTGGTGGCAGTCAACTCACCCTAGAAAGCCAAAAGCTGGAACCCCAGCATATATTACCTGTGGCTGCCAACTAGCCTTCTCTTAGGCAGTTTTCTTCTCACCCCTTAATATACCAGACTCTTTGGCCTCTTCTGTCCTATCTTAAACTTACTCCTAGCTTTGAAAAATTGCTTTTAATAAACACCCTGGCTTATGAGACTGCTGCTACTGCCAACATATGCTACATACTTTTAATCAAGGAACAAGTAAAATTTGCCTAAAAAGGTAATCCTATGACTTTAAGGCAGGTAAACAGTTCAAGATGTTTTAATGAAGCCATTAAAATGAGTTATCTATCGAACTAAGTAATCGTATCAAAACATTTACTGTTCCTCCTAATAAACACTAGGGAGAGAAATATCCTAATTACTGAAATAAGGTTTTTAAGAAATGTTAAAAGCTAGAAGCAATCTTGAAGATAATCTAGTTTAGAACTTTTTTTAAGCCACTGGGAAACTGACAAAATCCAGGGAAGATCTTCATGACATAAGTAAAAAATGTTTACCTCACTCCATGTCCACTTAGGATGTCAATCTGTCATCATATAATGACAATTTTAGACTTCAATTCTGTTTGTATTTTACCAAAAAATTATAAATACAATTTTGTTAGTATTTTATAGCTACAGCAATAAAATATACTCCATGCAATGTTATTTAATGCTTTATCTTTAAAGTTGAGGATATACGACAAATCGCAGTTAGGATAAATAAAAGTATCCCTGGGAATCCAGTCTTCTTATAAAAAAATTAAAAGTGGCTGTTCTATTTCTATCACAAGAAATATTAGTAATCATTGCTCCGTTTCAAATCATTTGGGAAAACAAGCCCAGCAAGGTTACATAACTGGCCTGAGGCCATATAACTAGTTAGTGGCAAAACTATGGCCGTAATTTTGGTATACTCATCCTTCCTAGTCATGCAGGGGACTCAATTAGATTTCAATTAATAAAAGAAAAACAATTACTATATGTTTCAATTCAAAAAGTCCCATCAAAGTGGCTGGTTGCATTCCAATTCCTTCAGTGTTACACTCAAAATCCTTCTGGTGGACTATCTTTCTCTTTAATGTAAAGAAAACAGAACCTTAATGGAGGCACCTCAGGCATCACCAGGTGAATGGAAAGCAAATGCAGCTCTAAGAGTGTGGACTGGCTATTCAAAAGCCATTCACAACCCCAGTAACTTTTGCCTTAACCACAGAGGCTGGAAGAGTAAAACACTCAATCTCGGGCCTCCCCGGCAGCTAGGAGTGGACATATGACAAAATTACAAAAATGACAATATATACAGAAGTCACTAGAGAGGCCATTTCTTTCCAAATAAAAACATCAATCCTGTTAGAAGGTCTTGACCCTTGTACTCTCTTCCTGTGAGGAATGCGGATATGATTCACAGAGATATAAGGCCATCTTGCTTCTATAGGCACAAAAGCCACATGCTGAGCCACTGGCTCCCTGATGACACAAAAGAGTCGTGACACCAGTCCTGGACTGTCCACCCTTGGGCTTCCTACTGAGTGAAGTTTAAGACTCTGCAGTTAGTTTTCTGGTTACTTACACCTAAATACAATCCTAACTCGTATAGGAAATAAATCTGACTTTTCCTCTTCTATCTAAACAAAGTAGTTGTCCATCTGGCTTAGTCTTATATAAGTAAATTTGCTAAACAAAATTTAGTCAACTTCATCCTTACCCCATGTTGTGCTACCCTCTCACTTTTTTAAAAGATCAATAAAAGAAGTCAAGGTATATCTCTTCTCTAAGAATAAATGAAAAGTTTTAGCTTATAGTAGCTTTGTCTCCCTGTACCATATGGCAGAGCCAAGGCTGCCTTGGGAAGCAGAAGAGAGAGAAATGGTTTCTCTCCTTACACACCACTTAACCTCAGTCCTGGACACCATCTAGAAATTCAGCAACAGAAAGAAAAAAGAAAACCAGAAACCAATGCATGTCACATTCTCATCCTCTACTAGGGAAAGAACACAAGCACCAGGGCTTAATTAGAGAAGATCGTATAAAAACCATTCACTCAGCAGAATACCTTTTCTTTCCCTTGAGCATCATGTTGGAGATATACCTCATGTTCCATTTAATCTGAGCAATACAGTAATCTCAAAGAAGGCTTATGAACAAAAGTAGGGTGTTTTCCATTCTTCCAATGTCCTTTTCTGATAAAGTTGGCTGTGGCAGCTTACAAAGGTATATCAAGTGTTAAGGTTAAATGGCATTTTCCAAAGGGATGAAAGAAAATAGGTAACAATGATGAGAAGCTAAGCATTCTACAAATATCATGCCAAAAAATTAAAGAAAGAAAAGAATATCTCTCTGTAGGTGAATGGCAACATGCTTTGGCAAATTTCTTGGATTTAAATCTATAAAATCCAGGCAAACCATTAGCTATTCTGGACCAACAGACTAGACTTTTTTTAAAAAAAGTTAAAGCTTTTTCTAAAAAGCTGAGAATTCCCAAACCAAGCAATCACTCAATAAATAGCTCCATAGCTGACAATGACCCTAAGGGTTCAGAATCTAACAGTACAATGGGATACAGTATTCTATAATATACTCTGGATCCAAGAGAAATTTCTTCATCTGAGTCTTTAGGGTTGCACTAAGAATCCCAAAAAGTGAATTCTGCACATGAGGAGCAGAAGTCAAACAAGTGATAACATTAAGGAGATGAAGAATAATATTTACAGATATAAACCGACAATCAACTAATCTTAGCAAAGCAATGCTCAAAGGATAAAAGCATTGGGGAAAAAAGCAATGACTTTAAATAGACCTTTACATCAGAATAGTTTCCAACAATTTAGAATCTAATCTGTAGAACCAGAAATGCCTTAGTCATCTAGATTGACTTTATGTGAGCAGGAATTTCCCCTCTCACTCTGAAATAAATGGAACTTCAGCTTGGGCTACAGCACTTACAAATTACTTAAGCAAAACATTTTTAAAACAGCTACTATAATTCACAGAAAGTAACTGATCTCCATGTTAGTTACTCAAATGTACTAAGTTAAAGATACCAGGGGAAAAAATTATCAAACTAAAGAATAAAGTTATTCCCTTCAAAAATTTCACTAAAGTTTCAGTGACAAGTTAGATAATCTCCTAAAATGGAATAAGGATATAATAAACAGCATCACCCTACCTAGCACATTTCCTGGAGGTACCTCCAGTTCTCTTCCCATCAGAAGATACAGGTTTTCCAGAGCACAGTATGCCATGTGGGGGACTGGGGGGAGGTCATCTGGTGGAGCTGAGAAGCCTAATGGTACCTGGGCAAAGCAAAATGATTGAAGACAAGTAAGGAGGCATTTGGAAGTATTAATTGGTATTTGTAAAGTTATTTTTATTCACCAGTAAGATATTGTATAGCAACATTTCATGTAAACCTGAAATATGAACATTTGAAATGGTGTGATACAACAAAAGTTTCACTTTATGAGTAAAATTTGAAATACTGAAACTTATCAAATACTAAAAAATTGTCTAGATTCCCATTTAATCATAAGCTTTATGGCTAAGTAATATAAATTCTGTTGTGACCTGGTATTGTCAGTTTAGGTGATCCCCATAACCCCTGGTTAAGTTATTTATATGAACCACGTCATACACCAGTTCCGGTGACTACTGTGCTATTATTTGAACACTTATTATTACTATTATCATTTAAAGTTGTTTTACTATTATAATGTTCTTCAAGTATTCAACAAGGGCTGGTGCTAGTGCCAAGTAACACAAAAGAATGACTTTGGAAGGGTAGTTAGATGTGATAAAAATGCCAAAAAAAGGTCAGACTGCTATTATATGCTATATTGTTCATATGGAAGAGCATGCTGTGACATATTAGGAACACATTAATGAGAGAATAGAGTACATTTACAGCAAAAATATACAAGTACAAGTACATTAGATTTATTAGTTCCCTGTACATCATATTTATTCTTATGGAAATACTGTCTCAAATGATTCAAATTTTGCATTGTGTGAAGTCTTCAGAAATATATCTACCATATAAATGCAAGTACCCAGAAAGCATTTCAATTAACCAACCAACCAATCTTTGGTGCTCACAGGCCTGGGGTGCTGCCCTAATGCTATGAAGAGAAAAAATGGCTGAGATACAACATGTACAAAGATTACTAATATCACAAGCACAGAGTGACCAACAAAAAGGTAGTATAGGCAAGTAAATCCATAAAGGTTCAGAGGAAGGTGAGGCCCCTGTGCTAGGGTAGACTCTAGAAACTTCATGAAAATGAAGGCACATGTTACATCTAAATGTATGTGTTCTGACACAATGACAACTCTCAAAGTAGCTCTAAAGATGGGCTGAGAGATAGAAAGATTATAAGAACTGAATAGAAAGAAATGGAATTATCTACACAATATGACCATCCACTTAAAACAAGCTACAGGTAAGTTGTAATTAGTAAGACAGCTTAGCAAGGTGGCAAAAATGCAAGATCAATATACAAAAGTTAATTATACTTCTATAGGAATAGAAAATGCATAAATAGAATACATAGCAATAAATATAAAATATGTATATTTAAAACAATTTTTAGAATAGCAACAAAATATAAGATAGCTGGTAATAAATCTAACAAAAGTGATCAAAACGCTTTATAAATAAAACTATAAAACTTTATGAAAAACATTTAAAATGACCTAAATAAACGGATAAATAAACCTAATACATTCATGGAAGGAAAGATGCTGTATTATAAAATGCTGATTCACGCCAAATAGGTGTATGGACATGAAGTAATTCCAATCAAAGCCTCAACAGGGCTTTTCATAGAAGCTGACAAGTTGACCATAAACTTGATATACAGGAGCAAAGAGTCAGGAACACACAAGACACTAACAAAGAAAAACATGGTAAAGGGATTTGGTCTTTTAGATGTCAAAACATTGAAAAATGAAAACAGCACTGAACAGAGACAGTTAGAGACAACCAGAAAAAATAAAATTAGTCCAGAAACAGATCTATGTACATAAGTAACAATCTGATTTATGACAGAGTGGACAAGGCAAATTAGTGGATAAAGATGGACTATTCAATAATGTTGTAACAGCTGGATAGTTGTATGAGGAAAAAATGAACCTGGATCCCTTCTTCACAAACATTGAATCAAATATTTAAACATGAAAGGTAAAATATTAAACTTTAGAAGGAAACATAAGAGAAAGTTTTGTGACTTCAATATAGACTTAGATTCAATGTTCTTAAGATGCAAAAAGCAAAACCCATAAAATAATGATAATTCGACTGCATTTAAATTGAGAACTTCTGCCTATTAAAAGGTACCAAATGGAAAGTAAAAACAAGTTTTACACTGGAGAAGAAATTTGCAAAATTCAAAAGTGACAAGGAATTAGTATCCAGAATATACAAAGAACATCCGAAAAGTAGTATTTAAAACAATAAAGTAGCATAATAGAAAAACAGGGAAATGACTCCAAGGACTATTAATATCTTCACACTAGAACACAAGATTGATCAATGAACATATTACAAGAGTAATAAGGAAAATGTAAACTAAAACTGCAAAGCACCATATCATACCCATCAGACTGGCACAAATCAAAAGCACAAATCAAAACTGGCACAAATCAAAAACCACATTTTGGGGAGCATGTGGAACAACTGGAACTGTTAAACGCTCCTATTGGGAGTGTAAATCAGAACTACTTCGGACAATAAATTGGAATTATCTTGTTAAGCAGATTACCAAGGCAACTCCACTATAGGTATATTCCCTAGAATTTCTTGTAAATGTGCATAAGGAGACATATACAAAAATAATCAAGGTAGCATTGCTTAGATTTGAAAAAAAAAACAAAAACAGCAAATATATTGTGACAAAAAAATCGTATAATTAAAATGTACATTTAAGTAAAGGAATCCTATGCCACACTGAACAATAAACGAACTGCAGGAATAGGCATTAACATAGATTAATCTCACAATGTTAAGTTAAAAAAAAAAAGGCAAGTTGTAGAATAGCTACAGTAAAATTCCACTTATACAAAGTTTCAAAAGCATGCAAATGTGACAATATTCTTTAGAAAAGCACACTCGGGTTGTAAAACTATAAAGAAAAGCAAGAGAAGGATGTGGCAGACAGACGAAAGGTGCCCCTCCCATGATGCCTGCTTCCTGGTGTTCACACCTTTGTTTTGAAGCCTCCTTCCCGAGTGTGAGTGGGACCTGTGACTTGCTTCTTCTAAAAAACAGAATATGGCAAAGGTGATGAGATGTCACACTGTGATTCTATACCATCATACAGGACTCTGTCTTGCTAGGAGACTCCTTCTAGTCTCTTATATGGCTTGATGAAGTAAGCCTCCAAGTTGGGAAGGTCCACATGACAAGAAACTGTAGGTGGCCTCTAGGAGCTGAGGGAAGCCAAAGGACAGAAAAATCCAGGACTCTCAGTTCTACAGGTGCAAATATATGAATTCTGACAACAACCTTTAGTGAGCTTGGAAGCAGGTTCTTCATCAGTCAGTCCTCCAGATGAGAATGCACCCTGGCCAACATTCTGGTCACAGCTTTGTGAGACCCTAAGGAGAAGATGTCGCTAAGCCATGTGTGGTTTTCTAACTCACAGAAACTGTGAGATGGTAAAATGTGTAATGTTTCAAGCTGCTAAATTTGCTGTAATCTGTAACATGCAGTAACAGAAAACTAACACAAAGGATGAACACAAATTCTGGGTAGGGGTTACTTTGAGGGTAAGTCTGAAATATTTCAGGTTTCTTTTTTAAGCAGTTGGAATTAGGTTTTATGGTGCTCTGATTACTGAAATAAGAAGCTATTTGAGCTGTCAATGTATTGTATCATTCCTGCTTAAGACATGAGACACATAAGCAACTGATTTCAACCTGTAGTAAAGAAACACTATGCAGAGATAAACTGGATTGTTCACGGAATTTGTAATGCCAAATAAATCAATGTTTCACTAAATACAAATTTCTGGCTCATTTACCTTCACAAAAAAAGAAAAAAATTAACTGATACTTGGCCCTTACTGATAAACTGCAAACTATCAATTATGTCCAAGCCAAGATAATCAGAGATGAGTTTTTATATATAGTATATCACTTTCAGACTCCCATAAAATATAACCCTATACACACCAAGTGCTATGATCTTTCTTGCTAAATTAGAACATGCCAAAGCTCAACAACGAAGGCTTAACTGCCAGCAGCATTGCACTCTCCAAGGATTAAACTGCTAAAACTCATGGAATAAGCATTCAAGGCAAAGAAAAACCGACAACAGATTTTCTTCAACTGCTACCTCCTTCTCTCTCACTTGTAGCCAAGTACCAAAGCTTCCCTGGTTTATCTATAGACAGGCTGCTTCCTGGACAGAGAGGAGCACGTGTTTCTCTGCTCATGATGCTCCACGGTGCCAGCTGACAATTTCCTAGCTTACTGCTTTGTGCTGATCCAGACTGGTTACTTGGACCTCTGGCACTGTCTTCATCCTATGACCTCTATTATTTAATTACGATATAATTACAATGCATATATCTTGCTTACTTCCAAAAATGTTCTGAGACATCTCTAGCCTGTGATCTCTGTTTGCCCCTTGGCTCAGGCATTTTTAGATGCTGCCTGTTCACCTACTTACAGACCCTCCTGACCAGACTCAGGGTCAGCGTGCCATGCAACTCCTGCCTATCCCCTGCTCACGGCCCAACCTTTGGCCTGAGCCAGCTAGTTTTTGGATCTTCCTATTTCTCAAAGATTGGCCATTGTCCTGGCTCCAGCATGACATCTGCTCTTATCAGTTCTTTTCTCTAACCACAAGGTGATTCTTGCCTAGAAGAGAAAAGCCTTATAATTAAATAAGGCCTGAAAATTTGGTCCACATACTGATTTGGTTTCCTTAATGCTACTGAGACATACATGACAAACGTTATCAAAGCAACACAAACGGAGATACAGTCACTCAAGTGTGCCTTTCCAGAGACAAAATAAATCTACCAATAAGATCATCGCCAGTCCCAACAAAATGTGAAAAGATATCAGACCCTTGAGAAACAATATCTAAATATTTTACTTTCAATTCTTACCCTTTGTAAAAACTCAAGAGGACTGTATTTGGGCCCCAAGATGAAAATTTTCTTTCCTCTTTGAGCCACACCACTGAACACTCGAGCAAATGCAATAAAAGACTCTTGGTTGTCTTCTTCCTGGAGCACAGGTTTAGGGGTCATACTTTCCACCTGTTGCTCATCACCTGCCAGAAACAAAGAGATAATTAGTGCCAAGAATGCCCTCTTAATTCAAGAACTGTCTGGAAACACAAAAGGAAGAGTGAATATGATGTTTGGTCCAGTTTCAGAAAAAAAGAAAACAAACCAAAACACCAAGAATGGAAAGAATATTGACAAAAACTATGATTAAAGCTTAAAAAGCTCAAGAACTAAAGGATAAGTGTCCCAAGTTAAGCAAAAAGGCAAACACTTTGCAACAGAGCCTACTTAGGAAAGTTATACCTCTTGGCTCCTCTCCTTTTGGACATGTTTCAAGGGCACTGACATCTTGGGTGGGCTCCAAGGGTGCCTGTCCCTGTGCTGCTGCAAGCTTCTCTGCATACCTTTGTCTTGCACGCTTACGTCTCTGAGCAATTTCTTCTTGAGTGACAGGCCTACAGGCTATCACAAATATGTTATCATCTGGCAACATCAAGCATCTCTCAGTTTAGTGAAGCAGGGAAACAGCAAGTATTGATATGGCTGGGTAAGATGAAGATTGGTCCCAGCTGCATTCCAGGCAGTTTTCTCCAAGTCCTCTCCCTGTCTGTAGCAACAGGAGAGGGCCTATCAGCCTCTCTCTAATAATGCTGTGTCCCAACTATTCTGAGCTTATGAACTGACATGCAGGAGCCCAAGTCCCTATCTGGAGCAATGTACAATAGTATGGAACCTTTCTCAGATGCCTATATTCCTTCTGGAAAAGGCAAAGAACAGGAAGAAGGAAGGGAAAGAGTGACAGATATCAGGGTTTGGAACAACCCTGGCAGGGAAACAAGCATAAGGCCTCAATAACCGGGGTTCAAGAGGAAGGGTTCAAGGTCAGGATGAGTACTGGCAATTCATCAGGACTAGAAGGTCAAACTGAAATATTAGCCACTGTGTTAGACCCAAGAAGTACCACCACAGAAAAGGCAGGGTGTGGGTGTGTATATGTGGTTTTCCCTGGGGATGAGAATGAGAGGGCGTGGAGAAGGTAATTAAGCTATTTTTCCTGAAGAATTACCCTCATGTCTGTCAGGATATAGAGAAGGCATTCAGAGTTTTAATGCCAAAAAGTTGTTGACAAAAGGGGAGCACTAAGTCGAACACAAATTCTGTTTGGGAGTTTGGGTTTGGAAGGTAGAAACCAGGCAGGTAGACTGTTTCCTAGGACTTGGCTCCCTTCCCATGTAGGGGTCCTTATGAACCTACCTGCATGCTCAACCCCAGCACGTGAACAAGACCAATCCATGTCCTAAAGCTGATAGAATAACAGCATCTTTAGCCTCCTGATACTCCAGGACTGAGCATCAAAGCACTCAGGCTAATCCTATGGTCCTAACTTTATGCTCCAGCTCTGGAAGCTGGACAACTCTTCCTGGTCCCAACACTTTGTGCCTCTCTCCCGTGTTGTCCCTCACCTTTGACATTATGATTCCTGCTTTATTTCCCAATCTCAGACTTCACACACCTAACTGATAACCTTCATCCGCATCTTGCCATGCCATATTCCCCTCCCCTCTCTGTAAGCCACGGAAGCCATGCAGGTAGCCATTCTGCCTACTTGCCTTCCAAATGGCCACATACCCGTAGGGCTCCTGATTCAAAGTGGCCTAACTCCTTCTACCTTTCTAGTTCATGTAAGCTAACCTGGAAGGTGACTGCTTAAATCGTTGACTGTCCACTGCTATACTCTTCAGATATCTTCCTGCTAGACAAGACTTCTCTAGTCCTAGTGTCCAGGACTAGACACTACTTCTGCCTTCCTTAGCACCTGTCCCTCAAAATCAATGGTTTAGTTCCAAGAGCAGGCCCTTCCACTCACACCCACTCTGCTGCAGGTCACTGGGCTGTGCAATAGAATACAAAAACATGAGAAACAATCCTTGAGCCTGGCTTGGTCAGGTGCCTCATTAGGCAATCAAAACTGCTGGCACTAAGGGGCCACAATACCACTGCAAGAGACAAGCTCCTCATTACAGGAAGCTCGAAATGTCAGAACTTTCAAATACAGAATGAACTCTGCTTCCTCGCAATTTCTAGCTATGGCCGCAGTTCTCTACTCTGGAGCAACACCTAACAAACCTACTTCCCTCCCCTTTCCTTTGAATCACCTGCATTCATGCCTTCCCTGCCTCCCTTCTTTTCCCCAGGCTGAGCACTCTAGCTGTTCCTTCAACCAATCCTTAGACAACTTTCCTTGTTTCTAGACTTTTGCTAAAAACTCATAAGAATATCTGAAAAATGTGAATTAAAATACAAATGCAGAACACATTTTAATTGTTAGAGTAGAAGGGAAAAAATACCAGAGGTATCTGCTAGTATCTACAGAGAAATGGTCTCTTCCAACGGGTTTATCATTATGATCCAGAGACTGTGTTAATCACTTTACATATTATTATAGCACATAATTTATCACAACCATTCAATGAAGTAGATATCATATTCCTATTTTACATACAAGAAAAGGGAGACTTTGAAAACTTCAGTAACTCGACCCAAAGTCACACAGATTTTAAATGGAGGAGCCATCATTCAAACCCAGATCTGCATGGCTCTAAAATCTATGCTCATTATCACCAGGTTATGTCTTTCCTTCAGGAGGAATTAAAGATGACAAAATCGTCATCTTACATAAATGTGATTTCACTTTAGTTTTAGTGAAAAAAGAAGTGTATTTGTTCACCTTGCAGATTAAATCCTCATGTGCCTAAGTTCATGAAGTGATGTGGAATAATCAGCATGTACAGTCATTAAGTAAGCATCAACTGTATAGACGCTTGCTGTCTGTCTATGTTTCTATCCATCCATCCAGTTAACAACTACTGTGTGCCACGCACTGCTGTGGGCACTGGGAATGATGGTAGAGGGGAACAAAGTAGATAGTAATTAGAGGGATGTGTAAAAAGTAACCACTGTGTGTCCAGCATTTGCTGAGAACAAAAAGAAATGTAATTACAAGAAAATGGGGCCCTGCTAGTGAGGAAACAGCTGTGAGTGGGAAGTTATTTAGGCTATAGTTAAACTAACCATGGATGTTACTTCTTGAAGGGACAATAGTTACTAATACTGAGATGAAGGAGACCAGAGGTGAGAATGCTGACTGAAGATTCAAATGTCAGGCTGGAAGGTGAATTTGAAGAAGCAAAGAAAAGAGGCAAGAACACAAGAACAAAGGAGAAAGTCCTGTAACAGTCCCACACTTCATTTACACCCAAAGCGGCACTATTGAGCAGTGAGTAAACGTCAGTGTCTTCAGTAAGTTAGGGAAAAATTTTTAGGCTTTGTGGATGCCGAATCCCATTTCCTGCCTTACTTTTCTCCCTGGCACATATCACTAATACATTGTACTCTATACGAAAGGAAAATAATACTCTGTTATTCCTGGCTTGGGTATCTAACACGATGGAGATGAAAATGCTATCAAACCAACTTCCCATGGTACATTTTCCTAAATTTTACAAATAAAACTTAAATGAAAAAAAAATCAGCTAGAAGATGGAAAAGAACAAAGTGATGATGACCTTACCAGGTATACCTGAAAACAGTATATTATTACGTAACAATTGTTGAACCTGATATACTGGTTAAAAAACAAATGACAAAAATAAAATCAGTAAAAAACTTCATGGAATAGAATGGATTGCACTACCAAAAATATACTAAAATCAGAAAAGCGTATGATGAATTATTAAGAAAAAAGTTCACAGAAAATGTAATTAATAGTAGAGGCATAATAATACTATTATTCATCAGCAAGAAAATGAAGGATGGGTAGAGGTAGGAATTTTTAATGATATAAATACATGTATTTCAAATCTTAACAGCAAGTTATCCAATTCTCTGATATTCCCTATGATTCTACTGGAATCTCTCAGATACTCCCAATGGACAAAAACCATCCAATATCCTAAAATTGTTAGTACAAGAAATTGTTACTACATGTAGCATGGAAATATTATCTGGGAGTAGTCTAGATTCATAATTAAGCATTCATTCGTTCCATTATTCCCTTATTTACTTACTAATTAAGCCATTGATTCACTCATTCACTGAACTGTTCATTCCCCCATTCAGATAATCACTCATTCATTCTTCATTCACACACCCATCTATTCCTTTACTTATCCCCAGGGCAAAAATTATTGAATACGTCTATGTCCAAATCACTAGGAAAGTACTAAAAAACAATGCATAACCTTTTTCCTGAAGGACAAACAGAATTTTATCAGAGGAAAAGAAGTCTTCTCAGATGGAGGAACAGCACAAGTAAAGATATGACATTTGTTCAGACACTAGTATATTAGAGAAACAGAAATAAAAATCTAGTCAAAACATGGTTTGGAGTCAGGTCACGGTGGGCCTGAAACGCCACTAAGACAGGTCAAGTTTATTTCACAGGCTGATGATCTGACCTTCAGTCACTCACATATTATTTTCATGATTTCTGCTATAACTGCATATTATTTATTTAATACTTATTTAAATGCACAAGCATTTTGAACTCAATAAAACTTTAAAATCTCATCACAGTAAAGGCTTTATCACTTGACATACACAGACAATACACACAAATACACATTAAAATACATATGCCGGGGGCGGAGCAAGATGGCCGAATAGGAACAGCTCCAGTCTCCAACTCCCAGCGCGAGCGACACAGAAGAACGGTGATTTCTGCATTTTCAACTGAGGTACTGGGTTCATCTCACTAGGGAGTGCCAGAGAATCGGTGCTGGTCAGCTGCTGCAGCTTTATTATTCACTATGTATTATTATAGATACTTCTAAGTGTCTAA